AGACAGACAGAGAAAGAGAGACAGAGAGAGACAGAGACAGAGACAGACAGAGACAGAGAGAGACAGACAGAGAAAGAGAGACAGAGAGAGAGACAGAGCAAGAGACACACCCACACAGAGAGACAGACAGAGATACACACACACAGACAGAGAGAGAGACACAGAGACAGAGACAGAGAGAGACAGACAGACAGAGAAAGAGAGACAGAGAGAGAGACAGAGAGAGACAGACAGACAGAGAAAGAGAGACAGAGAGAGAGACAGAGAGAGACAGACAGACAGAGAAAGAGAGACATACAGAGAGACACAGAGACAAAGACAGAGAGAGACCAGAGAAAGCACCTTCTTCCTCTGGGTATAGTCATTATTAGATACGATAACTGGATCATTTGCAGCTATCTTGTGACTAAGAGTAAAGTGGATGCCAAGCCTGAACAAAGTGAGAACAGCACTGAGAGTGGTATAGTAGAAGATGAAAATTGCCTGAATCTTTGATGATGCTGAGCTGGGCTATAGAAACAAACAATACTAAATTTTCCTAATGTCTTTACTCTTTTTGTTTTATTTCTTTTAAGATTTTTTTATTTGAATTAGAAACAAGATTGTTTTTTACATGCCAATCTCAGTTCCCTTCTCCCTCCCCTCCTCCCCTACCACCCCCCAATTAAAACCCTACTTATCACATATCCTTTCTGCTATTCTTCACCTGACTCAGCCTTTCTGCTCCCTCATGACCTCTGCATCCTTCCTCTTCTTCCCTTCTCACTCTCCTAGCTCCCTCTCCCCTCTTCCTGTGCTCTCAATTTGCTCAGGGGATCGTGACCCCTTCCCCTTCTCCAGGGGATCATGTATGGATCATTTTTATGCTTACATTTATAAATAAAGAAGGAAAAGTCTCACAGCCAGTCTCTCAACAATCTTCTCTGACTTATGCCAGGCCTGTCTTTTGGGAAAGATGTAGCTAGTTGTGTGAGTGAGATTGGATGCCATGCACATCTCATTGGAATTTTATTCTCTTAGATGTAATACAAGTTCCCACTCTCTGCTGTCAGGGACTCCTGAGAAAGCTTGCTTCTTTGCATTTTGAGAGTTGCACATAAAATCTGGGTGATTTTTTCCAGGTCTGATCTACACCCCATTGTGTACTTTAATCAACTGTGTTAAGTTGTGTAAATTAAGCCTGAAGATCAGGAAGTTCTAATGACAGTCTATGCTGGAGAGGATGTGGAGAAAGTGGAATACCCCTCCATTGCTGGTGGGAGTGCCAACTTGTACAGCCACTTTGGAAATCAGTATGATGGTTTCTCAGGAAAATGGGGATCAGTCTACCTCAAGATCCAACTGATGGGGAATGTACTTCGATGTATGTTCATCTTATTTATTGTTGAATAAAGTACTGTTTGGCCAATGAGGCAGCAAATTAGATGGGACTAGGAGTCAAGGAGGATTCTGGGAAATGTAGTAAAGAAGTGGTGATCCAGGCAGGAAGTGACATAACAGGGAGACTCATATTTAAGCAAGGACAAGTAGGAAGTGGTCCCTTTCCTCTTCACTCTTCCTCCTGCTCTCTGCTCTGAGCCACCATCTGATCCCAGTGATGAGGACGCCAGCGGAAGGCAACCGATAAGATAAGTCTTATAAAATATATAGATTTATGATAATTAAGACTGAGCTAGAAGATGAGAAATCCTAGTCATTGGCCAAGAAGCATTTGTACCTAATATAAGTCTCTGTATATTAATTTGGCCATTCACATGGCCGGCAGAACTCAAGCGGGTGGCAGAAAGATTTATCGGAACTTCCAACAATTCCACTCTTGGGAATATATATACCCAAAGAATGTGCATTCATACAATAATGACGTATGTTCAACTATGTTCATAGAAGCCAGAACCTGGAAGCAACCTAGATGCCCCTCAATTGAAGAATGGATGGAGAAAATGTACATTTACACAATGGAGTACTACTTAGCGGAAAAAACAATGAAATCTTGAAATTTGAAGGCAAATGGATGGAACTGGAAGAAAACTTCCTGAGTGAGGGAGGAATAGAGGAGAGCAAGAAAGGATATACCTTGATAGAGGGAGCCAGTACAGGTTTAGAGAGGTCTGGCACTAGGGAAATGTTCAGGTATCCACAGGGATGACCTCAACTAAGAATCTAAGCAATAGTGGAGAGGCTGCCTTTGATGCCCTTCCTCTATAATGAGATTGATGACTATCTTGGTTGCCATTCCTAGAGCTTTCATCCAGTAGCTGATTGAAACAGAAGTAGGCACCCACAGCTAAACACTGAGCCATACTCCTGGAATCCAGTTGTTTAGAGGGAGGAGGGATCAAAGGAGACAAGACAGTGCTGGAGAAACCCACAGAAACAGTTGACTTGACCTAGTGAGAGCACAGAGATCCTAGTCATAAAGCTGGGGAACCAGCATTGGGCCAAACCAAACCCTCTGAATGTGGGTGCCGGCTAGGAGGCCTGGGCAGTCTATGGGACCTCTAACAGTGGAACCAGTGTTTATCCCTAGTGCACAAATGGACTTTGGGAGCCCATTCCCCATGGAGGGTCAGTCTGCAGGGAGGACTGGGAATCGGTGTTTTATCTTGTAGACCATCGACCTCAGAAACACAATTATCAGGGCTTTGATATTGCCATGAGCATGGCCGGCATCTTTCATCTGTGGAAGATATGTTAATTGCCTGTTTCCACCCACATCCTCTGGAGATGCAGGCAAAGCACCTTATTGTCCATAACAAAAGAAGGCTCTTCCTTGGGCTGAGATTGCTCTGAACCCCTCTTCTGTTGTGCTTAGAACCCGGCAGTGCAGGCCATAGAGGTCTTACCTCGTAAGCCGGGCATTGAACAAATGAGATGTGGCTTGATCTTCTCAGAAGATGTAAAGAGCACAGATATTTCCATTACCTAGAATCCACCCTCTCCCTCCATTGGCTAGAAGGTTCCACCTACCACACAGCACATACAGAGCAGTACACACACACATCACAATTGGCTCTGAACTAACCATACCCTTGGCTCCTTAAAAGGGGTCTGAAAACCACAGTCTTTAGCTTACCCTATACAGGGGTGACTGTATCAGGCTTCACCAAGTGAAAACCAAAACCAAATGCCATTTTTTTTTTGAGAAAAATGAAATGTATTTCTCCCATCTTTTCCCCCCTTCACAGACCTCTTACCTGCTTAAGGATTTCAGCAGCTGTTTCGTGTGAACAATCAAATATCACATAAAACTCTTTGCCTTTCTTCATCTCCTTGAGCAGAGGTTTGGCATCTTTATTCCCAGAGGGCAGCTGGCGGATTTTGATTTTAATGTTGTATCTGGAAGGAGCTTTGATGAGCTCTTGCAGGCGAATTAGACCTGGAAAATGACATCCAATCATGCACCAGAGATGGATCTGTGTTGTTTATTGCCATTTGCAGTCAAAGTCAGAATATTCCCAAAATGTATCAAGCGGCCACCAACCTAAAGGTTACACTATTGACTTACTATTTGTCATCCCTTCTTCTCTGGTGGATTGCACTGATAGTTTCCCTTTGTGGGCCTGTGTGGCTTGGAAGCACAATTTTCCCAAGTCATTTTAAATTCTTTTAGCATGCATTTGTCTTTTCAACCTTTTAGCCAACACTGCAAGCCTTTAACATATCAAGTCTGTGACTACAAAACTTCAACAAGCAAATGCTTGCTTCAAGTTTCTGGAGGTACTCAAAAAGTAGCACCTGCTATCATTTTTAGAAACATATTTTCGAAAATTCATTCTTGTGAACATTCGTGTGAGTTCGTGTGTATGTTTCTGCATATGTACTGTGTCGGCAGAGGCCAGAAGAGGGGATCAGATCCCCTGGACCTGGAATTACTGTGAGAGCTCATTGATGTGTTGCTGGGAACTGAATTCTGGTCTACTGTGAGAGCAGGAAGCACACATAAGAGCTGAACCATCTTTTCAGTCCCAACACCTCTTATCTCAATGAATACAAGGATTTCTTGGGGTTGCTAATTTGTGTAAACTTACCATCAAATATTTATTTGCAGCATGTTGTTCACCAGCTAATTGGGTGGCTTGCTTTGTATAACCTTTTGGCACTATCTCAATAAAGTATTTGTAAATGGCTCATTATATCTCTTGTTAATATGTTAGAAAGTTGTGTTGGTTAAGTCCTTATTTGATTGAAAGATACTATAGGATTTGGGGTATGATAGTAAAAGCAAAAATGTCATTTAAAATGTAACTGCTGGTAGTTGTAGCAAAGTGTATGCAGCAGCCTAAATTGATGGAATATTTGCTTTACCACAGGTCTGGATTCACTCACCTTGCAATTTTCCCTAATAGGAGTTCATTACTAGGCAAGGTGTACAACCATAGAAAATCTCCATCTCACGACCCTGATGTTAACTGGCATTTGCTAGACTGCATGGTATTCTCTCTTTCTCTTTCTCTCTCTCCCACTCACTCACTCAAGGACTCCTATCACATTGGAAAATTGACTTTAAAAAAAAGTTTGCAGTTCAATGCCTTCAGGATTTGTTAGCCAGAAGTAATCAACGGAGAATATTAAACTTTATGAGTATTCAGATGGAAAATTGTATGGCAATTGTACTATGCCCGGTACAGGATGGCACTCGGATTCCAGCCCCTTCCAGACGGGAGATATTTGCTTCTTTCTCTGTTATTTTTTATTGCCCTCCCCTTAGTAGTCCCATTTATTTCAGCTTATGTTGGAAAGGCTTCTTCAACACAGGAGATGGGTTGGATTCTGAAGAGCAGCCAGGTTTTCATGACACTATTTTCAGAGTTGAACTGAGTGGAGGTGAGGGAGATCATTGCAGAACCATGTTAGGAGTTAGTGCATTTTCTACCCACCCCTCTCGTCATAAAAATAAAAATTCCAACAACAGTCTTCCTCGGCTCTCACTCCCTTTCTAAACGTCAAGAACCAAAACTGAAACACTGCTTTTTTTTTTTTTTTTTTTTTACCAAGTTTCATTTTCTGAACTACCACCAAGTGCTAAGAATGAGGTTGGGGTGAAATGGAGCACTTATATATTTGTTACTTCTTTTAGTAATTAAACCTCATAATAGCACTAGGAAGCAAGTTATCACGTTTATTATTTCAGATACAGAAACCAAGGCCCAGAGCAATTAAATAACCTACTCGGGGCTATAGGGATAGCAAGCAGGAGCCATAGATTAGGACTATTTGTGAGTCTAATCCTCCATCTTTCCATGTCTCTGACCTGCCTTATAAATACAGGCTAATGGTGTGGAGGGGACTCGGAAGCGTAAAACGGTTTGATGAGAAGGAAAAGGCCAGAGGCTGATTTTCCTCTCTTCCTTTCTTCAGGCTTCATGCTCTGCTGATACATATTTACTTACTTACTTACTTACTTACTTATTTGGTTTTTAGCTTCAGCATGACCACCTAGGAGAGAGCAATGTGGCCTTTAAATAAAATGGGGAAAACATTTAAAAAGCACATTTCATGTGCTGCAAAGAGTGGCTCCTTTGTTCTTTGCTGAACGGAATGCCAGGACCCTGTTGGCATTTAAAGCACCAGTTCCCACTTCATTCAGTCTTTCTCATTCACATTCAAGGGGACATATTTCCTGGATGCTCACTGGATCTTAGGCCTGTGCTGATCGCTGTAAGGCCTCTAAAGCTCAGAGGAGATTTTCATACTAGAAAGTATCCCTAGGTGGGTAGAGTATCCTTTTGCCACTTGATGTCATACAGAAAAAGCTGTAGGGCAAAGTAACTTGCTGGAGGTGACAGTCATGGAGCAACTTCAGGGCTTAAAGCCAAATCTGCCTTCTGATGCCCAAGTGGGTTCTTTCTCCTAGATCAATCAGTGACCCTGCCTGGCTTGTGTGTTTGGGAACAACTGATTGAATGAATGAATCAACTAACTGACTGGCTTTATCAGCAAACTGAGAAAGCAAATTCTAGACCAGCAGAAAAGCATCAGACCTTGTCTTGGCATGCAGTGACCATCAACTCTCACGATAGTTTCAGCAAAGATTTTCATGCCATGAGAGGGAGAATAGCAGTAAGTCAATACAGAGGGTCCATTTCTAATTGGAATAATTTTCTCTTCATTAAAAGATGTATCACTAAGCTTGTAAATGGGAAAACTCCTTCCTGGGTCTGTAGGTGAATGGGCTCTGGGGGAAGGTGGGATCTACAGACTGAAAGGTTACAGAGCAGAGGTGTGAGAGGGAAGTGACTTGTACTGTCTTCCTGAAGCAATCCCTGCCTTAAGCCAAGTCTTTCTGCCCTCATGAGCCAATGATGCAGAATTTACAATTTAAAAGGCTTTCTCCCTTCACAGGACAGAACATTTACTGAAAGCTTTCCTTTCTATTTGCATTTTGCAGCAATCCATCAATCATTTTCTGTTTCATTGTAATGACTAGTTAAAAAATTATTTGTTAAACAAATGATGACATTAGGGAAAGGGAAAGATTTAAGAGCAGTGCCTAGCTTTCTGACATCCCCGTTTGGATGGCTGCTCTGATCAGGTGATCCAGCCCTGCCAAGACTTCTTTTACAGGCCAGGCGAGTGACATTATCTAAACCTCTGACGTCATCTTGCCTATCTCACAAGCATCCATGTCATGAATGAGAAAGAAAGGTTCAGGACCAAAGGAGACCAAAGGGATGACACAATGAAATACAGTAAATGCTGCTGGTGCAATTAGGGTAAAGAGAATTATCCACGGATGTGTTTCCTTGACAGTACTGTATCATTGTTAAGTTTGTTACACTGATGGATTGCAGTGTGGCTGTAATGAAGCAAGTGAGTTTCTAAAGTAAGCACAACAATGTATTATTAATGAGCAAAAAAGTCAGAATATCTACATTATCCTATCCAGTGGTTTTATAGTGCTCATAGTTATTATTACTCCTTACTCCTACTTTTTTCATGGTGCTGAAAACTGAACCCAGAGCTTTGATTTTTTTTTTTGTTTGGCTTTTTGAGACAGGGTTTCTCTGTGTAGCTTTGGAGCCTATCCTCACACTCACTTTGGAGACCAGGCTGGCCACGAACTCACAGAGATGCACCTGCCTCTGCCTCTGAGTGCTGGGATTAAAGGAGTGCACCACCAACGCCCGGCCAGAGCTTTGATTTCTATACTTTGAATCTGTGAGAAAGTGCAGCATACTACATAGGCCAGGATGACTTTGGGCTTCCGATCTTCCTGCCCAAGCCTATCAAGCAAGGCTCATGGGAGAGCAACACCATGCCCCACCTGTAGTTATTTCTATGTTGAAAGAATTAAGGAAGATTAAAATGAGTTTGATTAGTTTAAGATGGTCGGTCCATCTGGATGAAGGAGTGGGTGTACAAGTTTATTGCATACCTCCTGAAACTTTTCTCTAAGTCCAAAGGCAAAACTCATTGCTATGACATAATATCTGGCATGTCTTCTCTTACTCCCCACCCCCACCCCTGGGCATGCAATCAGAAACTTAAAATTATGAAAGTGCTTTAGAATCAAGCCAGTTTGTTTCACATGGGTGTGAGCTAGGCTGCATATAGAGATAACATTTAAAAAGTGTCTACACGTCCAATTCCAAACGCTTTGGCTGTCTCCTCTGTGTATTCAAATATGACAGAAAAATGCTGATCTGCTTGTATATTGAGAAGCCGGGGCATGAGGAGGAGCACATGGGAGAGGAATAAAAACTCCTTCTATTTCCAGCAGATGTGTAAAAATGCTGTGTGTCTTCTTCAATAATAACACACCTTGCGATTTACACTGCCCCTCTTTCACAGTGTGCTGCTTGCCTTATAAATAGCTCACTAAACCTAGAATATTCTTTGGAAGTGTACAGGTGCCGGGCCTATTTCATGGAGAGGAAAGTCAGGCACAGTGAGGTTAATTGTCTAGATCAGCCCCAAGAATGAGTCTCAGACACCAGGAATTGAAGGGACTTTAAAGGTCAAAGCCCTACTTGATGCAGGAATCCCCTCCCATTGCGGTGAACACCTCTCGGTGTTGGAGATTCTCTCCTGCACACCCCAGTCCAAGCAACTCCCGGGTAGCTTTCATTCCGTTTAATGAGTCTCAGTTCAAAAGGAAAGTGCCTCAGTTTTCTTGAGTCTTAATCCAATTCCCTGTTCATTAAACCACATGAGTGGGATTGATGCTGTAAGAACGAGTGTAATAAACCATTGGGACCTGGAGATCAGATCACACGTTTTAAATGTTAATTTCTTCTTCATTTGAACTTAGAAACATGCAAAATGGCATTTCACAAATGTGTGGGTATATTAATATACCCACATCTAATAGGATTCTTAAGGGCATCTATGTATAAATTGGGAGTCTTCTAGAGGGAAGGAAAAAAATCAGAGCTG